TCACCCTATTTCCCCTGCCACTCCCAGCCCTTCTCTCCAAAGCCTTCTGGGGTGCTGGGCGGCTGTTCACCCCCTCACTGCTTTCTCGGCTCCAGAGTGTCTTCAAGGAGGAGGGGGTCAGGAGGCAGAGTTAATTGGGGGGTGCTGGCTGCAGCGGAGAAGGCATTTCCCAAGGGGTCCAGAGCGAATGACCCATCTGCTCACAGGAGGGAGCCCTGTCCCTCCCTTTGGTGTTACATTCGAGTGGCCAGTCCCTGGTTTTCTGGGCCCCTGCCGTGTGCACCGAGCTGCTGCCTTCCCGGAAGCAGGGCCCCCCCCATCCCCTGGTTTCACCTTCAAAGAATTTTCACGGGGCCCGGAGCCAGCCTGCAGTAAAACCAGCCAGACGTTTATTTACCAGGGCTGGAGCCCAAGGTTCCACACTGCAGCCTGTCCTTACTCGAAGGCTTTGTCCACCCCATGGGGCGTCCTTGCAGTGTGCGTCCAGTTCCGAAATTTGACAACCACCTTTCCCGACTTGCCTCTCCCTCCCCGCCCCGCAGAGTTTCTCCTCTGTTAATGAATAAAGCGCCCCCCCCCCCCAATTCTTCTGTTCCTATGTAATCACAGGCTATTGTGTCTTAGCCTGGGGCCCCACCTCTTCCAGGAACGCTCCTGCAGTCCCTTTGCTCCACCTGGGCCCCAGTAAACACAGGGCTGCCTATGGCTGTCTTCCTGCCAGGGCCTCCATTGTCCTCCCTGCCGCCTGAGGCCCCGCCTTGGCTCAGGAGACAGGCCTCGCTGAGAGCCTCCCTGAACCTGCCCAGTCCTGTTCAAACACCTTGCGGTCCCCGCGGCCTTCAGCTAGTTCTGAGCGGTCCCCTTCCCCCTCCCGGAAGTATGGAGCTGGTGGGACAAAGGGGTCATCTAGGGGCCTGGTGGGTCTGTCACTTCGCCTCTGGCTGCTTTCTGGCCCCCTTTCCCTCCCCACACACCTGCCCCAAGGATGCAGTGAGTCTGGGAGGAGCAGAGGCCCTGCCCGAGCAGCATCAGGCAGCTGGGGTCCCGCAGAGAGCTCTAGGGGGGAGGCCCCGGGCCCGGCTCAGAGTCTGGACGTCAGACTACAGGCCTCAGGGAGGGCGCTGCTAGTGCCCCCCACGTGATGGGGCCTCTCCTGTGTGCACAAGGCAAATGATGAGACTGGGCCGGGGAGCTGTCAGGAGGCAAGCCCTCTGCCAGTGGGGAAAGTAACCAGCTGTCTCACAGGTACTGCCCTATTGCAGCCTGGCTCCCTGCCAGCTCTTTCAATAGCCCCCTGCTGACTTTTTTCACAACTCTTGCCGGAGAGGCGCACCCACTTCCTTTCACCTCTGCCCCAGAGAGTCTAAGGACTCCATTTCTGGGTGGGACTCCATTTCAGAGCCTGGCCTGGCTCTGGCGCCATGTGTCTGATCGGACTGCTCGTCCATCCCGCTGGAGCCTGGCTAGTGGCAGGAGCCAGGAGGTGACATTTCAACCCACTCCCACGCTGGATGCACAGTCTAACCACACAAAGAGCAGCTCATGCCTTGGTCCTTACCCCTGCCGGATGGAGTGATTGCCCTCTGGTCCGGCTCACACCTAGTGGTCCCTTTGATTTATTTGCAGCTAGTCACGAGCCGCCCAGGGGGCTGACCCTGAGGGTGTGGGTCTGCCCCTACTCCAGCGAGCCACATTCTCTCTCTCAGCCCCTCCGGCTGGTGGGATAGTTGATGACGGCCAGGCAGCTCCTGGATGAAAAATGCAAACTGCTCCTTAGCAAGCTCACTGCTGCCCCCTGCTCCTGCTACCATCGCTGCGGCCCTGCTGCAAAATACCTGTTCTGAAAAGCAGGGCGGCAGGTTCTAAACTGCACTGTGCTGCTGCTCTGAGCCTTGTCAATTGCCTGGGAGAGCTAACAAAGTCTTTGCGGAAAGATAAGCTCAATATTTGCAGTGTTCACTACTATTTATCTAAGGGAACAAAGGCAAGAGTTTAAGGGCCAGCACTTATGTTTTAAAGTAGCTCCTCACTGAGTTATTAGCCACTGTGATTAGAATGGAAAGAGCTTTTAAAATCTCATGGGCCTGCCAGGACTGGCTGTGGCTGTTTGCCGTTTGCATGCCACTCCGGGGGAGTTGGAATGTTTTGCCGCCCTGTCTCGTCAGTTTCGCTCTCAGCTTCTCATTTGGTGAAGGGCGGGGGTGCGGGGAGATAAAATGCTTAAAGCTTGGGCTCCCTCTTTTGACCTGAGGGGGAGCCAGGATTTGGGGTCTTGTCGATTTTTCCAGCTGGGAGGAGACATGGAGGCTGGCGTCTGCTCCTGTAGAGGCAAGCGTGTTGGTTTCCAAGGAGCAGGCCAAATCCTGCTTCGCTGATTGTAGGAGGAATCGAAAGAACAGACGCTCCTGCCCTTGCTGACAGCCTCACACCTCCGTTTGCCCCTAGCCCTGGCAGCTGGGAAGTGCCCCCCCTCTGCTGCTGTGTCTGTGTTTGGGCTAGTCAGTTACACTCCAGTTTCCGAAGTTGGGTGACTATGGGTAACTGTATACAGGCCTCCATTCCTAGAATGGGCCCACCCAGCCGGACCCTGAGGAGGTCTCCTCACAGGCCTTTGGGGAAGGCCTGTTGGTACCTAGATCAGTGATGTGATTCACAGAGGCCCCGAGCGCATGCAGGGACGCTGGGCACCTCGGAGCAGGTGGCGCTTTGTTTAGGCGCCTGAACTCGGATTTAGGTTGAGGTGCCCCGCTCTGGAAACGTTGGCCCAGCCTCCTGGTGTTTGGTGAAGGGGGGCAGGGGAAGCAGGAGAGAAAAATAGGCGCTGCTGAGGAAGGCAGAGCCTGTCCGCCTGCCCCGTGGCACCGCAACACACCAAAGAGCTGCGTGTCTGGCTGATGAAAGCCCCGTGGCCTGACCTGGCCCCGTGCAGAGTTCGCTGTGACCCCAGGGGCTGGTTCTGTTGCTGGACGTGCCGTGACTCCGGCAGCATCTCCGAAGTGTTGTATGGGCCCAGATTCCTGGGCTGGTCCCGGATTCCCTCCCTGGGGGATCCCTACAGCCGCGTTGGAGAACCCGACTCCATCAAGCTGTCGGGCAGACACGACCCTCGCAGTGTCTCAGGGCCTCTGGGGCTTTAACCCCGTGACAGCGACTCCGATGGGCTCTGTCTGCCACACAGCACTTAGCTGTCTGATGCTGGGCTGCTCCACCCGGTACATCTAAGCCTTTGCCTCTGTGCTTCACGCATGCTCACACTCCGGTCGCTTTCCCTTCCTTCGTCTTCTCTTCTTTGGCCGCAGCCAGGGCCGGCTCGAGCCATTCCTGTGCCCCGGGCAGTGGGCGTGCAACGCACGTGCAGCTCCGCCCCCAGGCGCACGGCGCATGCGTGGCCCCGCCCCCAGGCACACGGCGCATGCGTGGCCCTGCCCCCGGTGCGCTGCACACCTTACAGCTGCAAGCGGGTACGAGGTGCCTGATGGCAGCTCTAAGGAGCGCCGCGCAGCCAGCTGCACAGCGCCCCTTACAACTGCCATCAGGCACCCCCCATAGGTTGATGCCCCGTGCAGCTGCC